TTTGCACACACATATCCTTTTAAGTACATATTATTGCATGGACCTTCAGCACATTCTGTGCAGCAGTAATGTAAAGGAGTGATTTAGGAAATGTGAAGCAATAAAAGTAAAAGAACTAAAACTAAAAGATTGATGGAGAGGAGAATTCAAGAAAAACTGTTGATGTGCTGGGGATTTAGCTCAGTGGTGCCACCACCTGCCTTGCAAGTGCAAGGTCCTAAATTCGATCCCCAGTACCAAAACAAAAAAACAAGAAAAGCTGTTGATCTTGGGCTAGCTGGTAGTTGAAAAGAACAGTTGCATCTCAGCTTTTGAACTTTGAAACTTAAATACTTCATTCTTTTTGCTTTGCTCATCTTTGCTAATTATCTATAATTCCTAAAGGATTTAACTTAATTAACCCAGAGTTAAAGGAGAGACCCATAAATGGAGTTTTAATTTTAAAATATCCTTTTTATAGCTCAATGTTCCCAGCATAATGAATTCCCTATGTAATTAAAAGTTTGATTAAACTAGAACCCACAAAAATACCATAATAGAAGATTTTTCAATAGATCCTTGAAAAGATTCACAGCTTGACTGAGAAATCTTTATAGCTTAGATGTATTCAAATAATTTTAATAAATTATTTATTAAAATTTATTTAAAATTTATTATTATTATTTATTATAATAATAAACCTTTGCCAAAGCAAAGCCCAAAAAAACATATAAAAGAAATAAAAATAGATCTGCTTGAAAGAATTGAGAATTGCTAAGCATGGGAATAATAGGCTCTGTTGTCTGCCAGCTTGCAAAGGGCTGGCATCTATTCCACCACCAGAGGACAGTAGCGCTCAACTGTTAATGGAGAACACAACAGTGCGAAACACTTCCTTAGAACAATCATTAGAGCCATAGTTAACACATCAATCTCTAAAAGGACAAGAAAACAGGAACCACATCCCAGACAGGTTTGAAGCTTTTGTCCCTGACAACAATAAGACAGGAAATAAGCAACAGGGTCTTGTGAAAGGGAGCAATCTCTCTCCCCATCCTGGTGTCCTTGAATCACCATGGAGATGGCTTCAGATAGGGGTCTGTTCCTTTGGATGTTCAGCTAAGAACACTATGGCAGGCATCCATGGTACCGAGGTCTTAATGGGTATTCAGAAATGGCAGAATAAAGCTGTGAGGATCAGCAGAGCTGTTTGATCTCAGAAAATTAGTTAGGACTGGTTTTTAGGAGTATCCTAGGGCGAACTTGTATTTTATTTTATTTAGATTCATAACACTGGAACATTAAGATAATCAAAGTAATCTTTGCCTTTTAAAGTTTCCAGGAAGCTAATTAGTGCCAAGAGATAGCAGTATAACAAATGAACTCTCAATATCTTATGTACATATTTTGATTGATCTAATAATGCTCATAAAATGAGATGAATTAGGTATGTTTAATATGTTCTCATGACCAGTATCTGTTTTTGTCTTTATGATAACTGTCACTAATGTTATTGAGCTATCATCTGGAAAAACTTTTATTACTTGAAAACCAAATTAAATTATTCCTTGATTTAATGTTGTTTCAATTCAACATTTATTGAACAGTTAAAATTGAATGAGAAGACAGTGACTCTGTTAAAAGAATCTTAGAAAATTAATTATATCTACATTTTAAAGTCATCTTCAAATAAAAAACAGAAACTTGTGAACGTTGTACATGTTTTATGTGCCTTTCCCATCACATGTTGTGACTTTTGTTGTAGTAACACCTTCAAAACCATAGGAAAACTAAACCTAATTCAGGAAACCTTATTCCTTGTGTTGGTAGAAGACAGGAAATAAAATAGGCTCTGTTTTAAAATTATATTAGATAATTATCATTATTGTTAATAAGCTATGGATAGATTTATATTTAAATGCTTACTCAATTATATTTAATGTTTATTCAACTTCAATCAGCAAATATTTATTTAGTTAACCACTGAATTAGTAAGAATAACAAAAATGAATAAAACATAGTACTGAGGATGGGACATACCTGAAAGAAAGAGGGTAATTAGTATTTCTGAGCAACTACACTGTGACAGATCTTTCTCATTATCCTCATCACAATCTTGAAGTATTATCCCTGTTTTACGGAAAAAGAAACTTAGGCTCAGAGATATTAAATGGCATGCTGCAGGTCACAACATCAGTTGAGGTAGAATCTAGATCAATGCTAAGGTATGTATTTTTTCCATTATACCATTCTATCTGAATATTAGTCATTGACTCTTAAGAAAAATAATTTTTACGAATGGCAGTTTAGTAATTTTCAGTTTAACAAATACAAACATATAATGGTGGGCAGTAACTATATATTTTTTTTAATTTCCCCTTAATGCTTTGCTACCATCTGCCCGCCATGAACTGTTTCTCCTCTCAATCCCACTCTGCCTTGGAGCCAGCAATTATGGACTGAAACCTCTATAAACTGAGAGCTAAATAATCCTTTCTCCCTTTAACTTTGGGCATCAGGTATTTTGTCTCAGTATTAAGTAACTAAGACAGAATTTGGTACCAGAGAAGGGGGGTCGTTGCTGTGACTGTACCTGACCATGTGATTCAGGAGCCTTTAGGAGTGGCTTGTGGGAAGAGTTTGGAAAGGTTCAGAGATGCCAGCTGAGAAAGACTTGGAACACTTTAGGTTGTACTCGATGGGAGATTGTGGTCAGAGCTCAGAAGAAAAGAGCATTGATAGAAATTCTGCCAGTAAAGACCAGACTGAGGTGGTTTCTGCTGAGAAGGGCTGCATCGATTATTGGACTCCAGACAATATGTGTTATATCTTCGCAGAAAGTTTGTGTCCAGAGACTGCCTGAGACTGAGATTAAAGGCAACAGACTAATCTGTCAAAGGAAATTTCAAGGTAGTCTAATATTGAGGGGGTGGCATGGTTACTGTTAGGGGATTTTGCCAGATTTATGTTGAAAATCAAGAGCAAAGAGCTCAGGAGGATGATTTAAAACATTTTGAGTTTGGCCATAAAGGAAGCTCCAGTAAAGCTGTGGACAGCAAAGATAGAGCAGAGGAGATCTTGATTGCTGAGAAGGAACAGGAGAATAGATAAGATAGCTTGAGGGCATCACAAGAAGCAGCAGGACTCCATGCCTTGCAGCCTCAAAATTGCAAAAGTGAAAGACTGCTTTAAAAATAGAGACCCAGGGAACCACGTTCCAGAATGGCAGTGCCCTAGGGAAGTTGTCCTCTGGATTTGGTTCATAGGCATTGGACCCATACAGCAAAGAGGGAAGGAAGCCCGGCTACTATTCCAGATAGCAGCAGACCTTGGCGTCATCCATGTGGTGCTGGTTTTAGGCACATGCAGAATACAAGAATTGTGGGGTCAAAAAGACTTCCACCCAGATTTCAGAAGAGGGCTTGGGAAGCCAGGCAGTGTGTCCCTGAAAGGGCAGTGTGTGAAGCTGTGAGTGTGAAGCCGAAGTTGCTATGGAGACCCCAGAAGGTTGGAAAAGCCAGGAACATGGATTATCCAAGGAAAGCTGCAAAGAAGGAGCAGAGCCAGCCAAAGAAGGAAGCCATGGGAGCTACAACCACAAGTGCTGTAGGATTGGAGCCATCCAAGCCCTTTGGAGTTCACAATGTGGCACAGATTGCTGAGGATGCTAGAAGTGGAACTGTGGTATTTAATGTTTGCCCTATTGGATTTTGGTCTTGCTTTGTTCCTGTTCCTTGCTATCCCCACTTGTAACTTTTGCAATGGAAATGTCTATCTCATGCCACTGAACGTTGGAAGTGTTTAACTTTCTTTGCATTTGTACAGGGGCTTGCAGCTAAGAGTTTGCCTTAAATCTCAGAGGAGACTTTGGACTTGGACTTTGCAGCGATGCTGAAACTGTTAAGACTTTGGCAACTCTTAGAGATGGACTAAATGCTTTTGGCATAAAGGGATATACGTGAGTCTTTGGGGGGCCAGGGGTGGAATGTTATGGTTTGTGTCTGGATGTCCCCCTAAAGCCTCATGCAGTCATATGTTAGGCATTTTCAGAGGTGGCTGAATCTAGAGTTTGTGACACTGGGATTGATTCATGGTACAATGCTAAGGTCAAGGGTCCTAGGTTTAAGGGTGTGAGTGCCACCTACCCTAAGTACCCTGGATAAAATGTAAGGAATAGAAAGAGCTGTGGTTGTCCTTTATTGCTTTGCTATCGTCTGCTTGCCATGAACTCTTTCTCCTCTGCAATGCCTGTCTACCATGCCACCCTGCCTTGGACCCAGGCAATTATGGACTGAAACCTGTACAAACTGTGAGCTAAATAAAACTTTCTCCCTTTAAAAAAAATTTAATTAGAGAATATTTCACACATACAAGTATAGAGAATAACGCTTATGTAATCATTAAAGCTATGTTCTGTATTCAACCTTAAAATTATACCATGTTTGAGTCTGACATTTTTAAAGAAATAAAATAAAATAGGATCAGTTGAGGTTTTCTACCTCTCCTGATCCCATTCTCTTTTCCCATATTATTATGAATTTGGTTAGCAGTTGTCTTCCTTTTACTGCCTCCTCATGAATTCATAAACAACATAATACTACTCTGCAAGTTTAAAATTGCTTTTGGAGTGTACCCAAATGAACATAATACCCTACACTTTACTTTTGGGGCTCAATATGTTTTTGAGATTTATCTATAATGGTATATATAGTGTTAATTCTTTAATTCTTAAATGCTGTGTAGTATTCTATTATCAAAGTGTATCTGTCCGTATTCTTGTAACTACATATTTAAACAAGATTCTGCTATGGTTTTGACTCAAAACCTATCTAATGAATTTTAATTATAATAGTAGAATTTATTTTAATAATAAAAGTACAGGGGCCGGGGATTTAGCTCAGTAGTTTCGCCGCCTGCTGCGCAAGCGCAAGGACCTGAGTTCGAGCCCCAGAATGAAATATAATAATAATAATAATAATAAAAGTACAAAACTATTCACACTAACATTTTTTTTGATGCAGCTCATTCCCTAATCGAAGTATGGAAATTTGGTAATATTGTCATTGAACTCCTATACCACTGGTTGCACATCTGTTCAGCTCTCATGAAGCTAACCAAAAAACTAAACAGTGCTATTATACCTCCATTGCCCTCCAAGTCTGACAACTGTATATATGCAAAAATGCCAGAAGAAACTTTGCCAGGGAAATCCTAGAAGAATTGGTACTCTATTTAGGATACAGAACTTCAATCATATTCAAAGTTGTTAACTTTAAAATATTTTCAAGTGCAAAGGAATGCCACATAGACATATTTGGCTCCTAGACATTTACTTCAGTACTTTCTAAAACCGCAAGCATGACCTGTACAAAACTTTTATCTAAGAAATACCGAGTTTAAGGTAGCCATAACTAAATTATTTGAGTATGTTATAAAATATGTTTGAAGTTCCCTTGTGGTATGAGCTTTGGATATGCCATGAGACTACTATGGTTGATTGGGTATTTTTCATTCTTTTAAAGTACAAATACTGAAAACTGTGGATTTATTTTAAAACAGCAGGTTGGTCTTTTTACATCAAAAGAGTACCAAATAATAAAGATTTTTTTAAGAAATGGACTTGGAATTGTTTTCCTAATTTTACAAAGACTTATCTGAATACCACCTCTTTCCCTTCTCTCCCACTCCTCTTTCCTTAACAACTTAAAAGTCATTTTAATAAACAAATTCTTGTGGGAAAATGTTGGTCCATGACTCATGGAAAAATGAAAATAGTGTTTTTTTAAAATGACAAAAATCTCTCAAATTTGAGAACTACAAAAAAATGTTCGTTCAAAGCTTGTTATTATGGCAAACTTTACTGTTCTTGTGAGATTTCATCTTTGCAGTAAGATATCTGATGACAGTCCATTTTTAATAAAAAAAATTTGGGAAATTAAACTTTATTTTCTTTATTAGGTTGACAAAATCTGATGTGTTCCAAAAATCTTATAATTGGAATTAAAAGTCTCTTTTTAACCTTTTCTGATAAGACTACAGTGTTATTACCAGTCTTCATCTTTTGGATGATCTCATGCCTAGTTTTAACCTATCAGCCTCTTTCATATTTGGAGGAGGACATCTTTGGGCTTTTGCAGCAACATTTCTAGGAACAATATTCTTGAAGATATTAAACTGATAGCCATATATCCTGATGGCTTCACAACAAGCTTATGAAGAATTCACTGTGAATACTAGTAACATTTAAGGCAGCAAGAAAGGGAAGATTTTGCAAAATGCTATGTATTTGACCATTATGGAAATTAAGTTAACTAAATGACCTCTACCTGAATAACAAATGCCATGCATTTTCATGACACTTTAATTTGAAGTATTTTCACCCACTAGCTTATTTGATCCTTCCAATAATCTATAAAGTAGATACTCCTTATACTAACTCTATTTTATAAATGAAGAAACAGGCCAAAGAATGAGCTGTCTAGTTCACACAGCTAGTAAGAAGCAACCATGTGTCTTAATTTCTATTTTATTGCCTTTGCCAGCCTCCCAGACATCTCACTAACACTTTCCTTTTTTTTTTTTTTTTTTGAGGCAGGGTTACGCTGTGTAGTTCAGGCTGGCCTTGAACTTGCAGTGATCCTCCTGTTTCAGTCTCCTGAATGCTGGAATTATAGGCATGCACTACCATGCCAGGCTTCTAAATTTCTTATTAGGCTAATGACAATATTATCAGTCTTTTGTAAACTACTTTTAAATTAAGCAATCAACAACCCAAATTAGTTAAGGCTTTCAAAATTTCTTAGTAGGCTAATGACCATACCATCAATCTTTTGGAAAATACTTTAAAATTAAGCAACCAACAAGCCAAATTGGTTGAATTTATTTAACTATTTTAACTATCATTATCAAAGTAAAATACTATCCTTTAACACCTAGAGTTTACTTTTTTAGTGAAGAGGATGTTATTTATACTTGATAAGGATTTTTTTTTCTCATTGGGAATTGTACCTTTATATAATGCATCTTGGTTCTTATTTTTTCCCCATTCCTAGCCCTCCCTTCACGCTCTCCACCCTTCCCTAT